GACACTAGTCTTTGTGTATTTTAATGATGACTGAATTTTTTATTCAGTTTTGCATTGATTATATTCCAAAAGAAAGTGAGCAAAGCATYCTGGTCKCGGTAATGCGTGACATCATATTGACAATAGGCTTTCATTTTACATTAATATTTATTTTCATCGTTTAGTATTTAATTGTTCTCGGTTACTTGAACTTTATTCTGCCTCTCAACTACTTTAAGTTCCACAGACTTTCTTTTAAAAATGCGACAAATATTTAAACGTCGAAGCACGATTAAGTTTTTAGCCGAGTCTCTAATGTCGGTCAAGAATACACAATAGATGTACGGACTCAAAGAAGAGTTTAAAACAGGGAACAAAGCGAAAAGAAAAATCATAGTAGATGTGTCCACACAAATACTATATCCTAATTTACTTAAAAGAATTAAAAGAGCCATTATAAACACAGGGAAATAGTTACAACTAAAAAGAACAAGCGAACATATAACCATATGCACTATCTTCTTCATCCGACGCGCTCTCGTTGTTCTCTGTGGCTCWGAAAGACTCCCTTCAATTCCACTGGACTTAGAGAGTCTCTTTAGGGTTACTATGCTTAGGAAAAGAATAACAAAGCTTTGTATAACAAGTATTAAGATTAATACAACAGAGATAATGTAATGATGAAAATCACTTAAAAAAAGACATTCGCCATTTAGCACTTTCGAGCGAGGTCCATATGCAACGCAAATGGACGGAATCAGCCACGACAACACAAGAACAGTTATCGTCCCGCGCTTTTGCGCCCGTATTTTGCGCACTATTGTTGCTCTGAATCGGTCAATACTGATTATAAAAAGTGCTGAGGCAGAAGCTGAGAACGAAACATCATTTAGAAATGGCATTGTCTTGCAGAGTGCTTCAGCGAAGGACTCTGGGATGTTCATAAATATGTTAAAGTCTTTTCGAAGAACGTAGAATAAGGTTGTCAGGACGAAAAGTGTGTCAGCCACGGCCATGTTGATAATTAGGTAATGTAGTCTTCGTCGTATACTGCATTTCAGGGCTGCTTTGATCACAAAGATGTTTCCAAAGACAGCAAACCCACCCACAATGTACAAGAAGATTGATTTAGCATTTCGTACGGTAAGCGAGTCGGGAGCTCCTTGAATACAAAAATCACTCGTGCTATTTGAAAAAGAGATGTTCATTGGGAAAAGTGAGGGTTATTCTTGTGGAACTGAAATACGGCTGACACCTTCAACTTCCTTTCCTTTTATACTTCCTTTCAAAGTCGATTAATTCCAATAAAACAAACAAATTAAAAGTTCCTTATCGTTGCAGTAAATTGTGTTGACTTAAGTGACGTCTTGGTGAGCTTTAAGTACCGAGTTTTTACGACTCYTGTCTAAAACCCGCTGAATTGAATGCAAATCGAAGGAAGTCAAAGCAGATGTTTTGATTTCCATTTTGAAAAAAAAAGTTCGTCATTTTATGCATATGTATTCCCGTGACATGAACATCTCTCTTCAAAATGGCACGAGTGGTTTTTGTGTACAAGGCGCTCACGASYCGACCACTGTACGAAATGCAAAATCAATCTTCTTGTACATTATGGGTGGATTTGGTGTCTTTGGAAACATCTTTATAATCAAGACAGCCCTAAAATGCAGCAGACGWAGAAGACTACATTATCTGATCATCAACATGGCCGTGGCTGACACACTTGTCATCCTGGCAAATTTATTCTTCGTTATAATATGGCATATGGATTATAATATATACAAAAACACCCCAATGATCTTAGCTGAAATGTTGTGCAAGACTGTGCCCTTTCTTAAGGATGTTTCCGTCTCGGTGACTGCCACAATTCTCTTGATAATTAGCATTGATCGATTCAGAGCAACAATCTTACGGGCAACACGAAGACCAAAGAGTCCGACTGTAGTCCTTGTGTTGTCGTGGTTAATCCCCTCGCTTTATAACGCAATTTTATTTCCCAGTTTAAAAGTTGACAACGGTGATTGTCGGTACTCGAGTGAGTTCCACCACATCTTCTCAGTCCTGTCTATTTCAATACTTATTATTCAAAGCTCAATTATCGTTTTCCTTGGCATTGTAACTTTAGACAGACTCTCTAAGTCACGTGGAATCGAAGAGAGCCTCGCCGAGCCACAGAGAGCAGCAAGAGCGAGGCGAATGAAAAGGGTAGTGCATATGGTTCTGTTCTCGCTTCTTCTCTACAGCTGTAGCTATTTCCCTCTCCTCGTCGTCGCTCTGCTATATCGTTTCAAAGTTTTGAAATACAGTTCGTGCATGGACATTTCGGCTGTGGACGTCGTTTTCACTGCCCTCCCTGTTTTCAACTCCACCTTGAGTCCGTGTATCTATCTAGTGTTCTTGGCCGATTTCAGAGAAGCAGCGAAAAGCTTGCTGTTCATGCGAACACCGAGTGTTTTTCGTGTTTTCAAGGGAAAGACTATGGAGCTCAAAGCAGCTGAGAGACAGAATAAACTTGAGCAAAATGAGATAACATAACCAATGGTTTTATTCATCTAAAGACTAAACTGAATGATATAACAATATTAAAGTGCAATC